GTCCAGCCTTCATGAGGTCAAGGATCTCTTCTTCCACCTATACCCAGCAGGGCCCTCCACTCTTACATATTCAGCTGAAGCCCTGGATCCCTCCCTAAGTGCTCCCAGGCTGGTGGTTTAGACCCTGGGAGCTCTGGTTGGTTGGTATTGTTGCTCTCCTCATGGTACTGTAAATCCTTTCAGCTCCTTCAGTCCTCACTCCTACTCCTCCATTGAGAACCCCATGATCAGTTCAATGGCTAGTTGTGAGCATCTGCCTCTGAATATGTCAGACTCTTAAAGACCTCTGAGGAGACATCCATATCAGGCTCTTATCAGCATGCACTTCCTGACTTCCACATCAGCATCTACCTTTGGTGACTGCACATGGGATGGATATTCAGGTGGAATGGTCTTCAGACGACCCCTCCTTCAGTTTCTGTCCCTCACTTTGTCTCCATATTTGCTCCCTTGAGTATTTTGTTGCTCCTTCTAAGAAGGACCGAAGCAACCCCACTTGGTCTTCCTTCTTCATGAGCTTCATGTGGCCTGTGAGTTACATCTTGGGCATTTCAAAGTTCTGGGCTAATATCCAATAATCAGTGAGTGAATACCATGTGTGTTCTTTTGGGATTGGCTTACTTCACTCAGGATGATGATTTCTAGTTCCACCCATTTACCTAGGAAACTCTCGAATTCATTGTTTTTAATAGCTGAGTAATACTCCATTGTGTAAATATACCACATTTTTTGAATCCATTCCTCAGTTGAAGGACATCTGGGTTCTTTCCAGCTCCTGGCTATTATAAATAAGGCTGCTATGAACATAGTTGAGCATATGTCCTTGTTCTGTGTTCGAGCATCTTCTGGGTATATGCCTAGGAGTGGTATAGCTGGATCCTCAGGTAATGCTATGTCCAATTTTCTGAGGAACCGCCACAATGATTTCCAAAGTGGTTGCACCATCTTGTAGTCCCACCAACAATGGAGGAGTGTTCCTCTTTCTCCACACCCTCGCCAGCATCTACTGTCACCTGGGTTTTTAATCTTAGCCATTCTGACTGGTGTAAGATGGAATCTAAGGGTTGTTTTGATTTGCATTTCCCTGATGACTAAGGACACTGAACATTTCTTTAGATGCTTCTCGGCCATTCGAGTTTCTTCCATTGAAAATTCTTTGTTAAGCTCTATACCCCATTTTTTAAATAGGGTTATTTGGTTGTCTGGAGTCTAATTTCTTGACTTCTTTGTATATATTGGATATTAGCCCTCTATCATCATGAGAAGTGATTTTAATTTTGAATCCTGCTTTTCCGGTGTGATGGGGTGTCCAGGGCTTGCTGTATTTGGGGAACTGGGTACTGATGATGCCAAGAAACTTTGGTTTCTGTTGCTTATGTTCTTGTGCTTGCCTTTCGCCATCTGGTTAACTCTAGTGTTACCTGTCCTCACTGTGTAAGACTGGAGCCTGTATTTCCAGTTATCTTGCTTGTGGCAGAGCTCCTCAGAGTTTAGATGTCTCTGTGGTCTTATGATCTTAATCTTCTGGGTGGAAGAACTCCTGGGACTCAGGCCACCTCTTGGATCTGGAAATCCTTCTGCTCTGGATGCAGTGGTTCCTCTAGGATGGCTCAGGATATGATGTCTCCCAAGTGCAAACCATCTTGGTGTCTGCTGCTCTGAGTGCAGTGGCTCCTGTAGGATGGCTCAGGACTCAGTATCTCCACAGGAGCCGACCAACTCTGTGTCTGCCCCAGCCCAAAGGACCAGGCAGGGGCGGAAGGGAAGTGGAATTCTGGTGGGGCGGGGTTTGGGTAGCTGGTGTGTCCTGAGTGTCCCTGGCTCCCAGATGTATCTCTGGGGCCTAGGGAGTGAGATGGAGTTCTTACCGGCTGCTCTGAGTGCAGAGGGTCCTCTAAGATGGCTCAGGATTCAGTATCTCCACCGGAGCAGACCAACTCTATGTCTGCCCCAGCCCAAAGGCTTTCCCAGTTTATTCTTGAAAAGTCTTTTATCAAGCCTGTGTCTATTCTAGGGCACATTATACTGTCCTTTTCCTAAGATTTCTCTCTCCCACTGTCTTTCGATTTCACTGTATGTTAAAACATATTCTTAGTGAACCCCAACATCACATTAAAACTTTTATTACTACATGTCACTTGAAGGTTGTGAAGAGTGTTACAGATATGCTTAGAAATCATGTCTACAGGCTATTTGAATTCTGTATTCCTTTTCCAAGTAAATAAGAGGTCCAGAATACTAATTTGAACTGAAGGTGTGATTAATAGCACGGAAGGCCTTGCCTTGAGCCAGGGAGTTAAAGCAAAAAGAAATTTGAAAACAGCTGGGCTGAGGTAAGACTGAGAATGGTTGAGAAGGCAACTGGAGTGACAAATCCATTTATGGAGGGGAGCAGCTGCAGGAGAACTGAACACAGCTTTGAGACTAAAAACTTTCAACCTGGAGCTGAGACTCTGAGCTGGAAAAAGAGAAGGAGGGTGGAGGAGACATGTAGACATCCTCTGAGGCAATGATTTAGGATTCACAAACAGCAAGGAAACTGTAAGGGACTTGTTGCCTCTCTCTGGTGGAGAGTGGGGAGGGAGACATGCAGGCACTGACACACTTCAAGCAGAGGGGCAATTGCCTGCCATTCTGCTCTTATGATTTTGACTTGAAATATCTGTGGTGTATGGACTTTGGGCCTGTTAGGACGGTTCCCCTCATTCCCCTAGTCTTCAGGGTGCCTCGGCACATCCAAGATTACTAAAATACATAGTCTTAGGGAAGTTTTTGAGGCCAAGGATGGAAAAAAAAGCCTCATCAAATCCTAATAAGTAAAGATAGCTACAAATTATTCATCCACTCTAGCCCCATCTGAGACACTGAACAAGGAGAGATAGGACTCATCCATGGAGTGGCACTGGTGATTTGTACTAAATAGAGTTTAATTGCAAAGGGTTGTTAGAGAATATAAACCTCAGGCAATCGTAAATCAGTTCAACCCGTGGAGATGGGCTTGAGGTTGGATAATGGGCTTGATGTTTGAGGGTTGGAGAGTTGTAGGTGAGGTGAGAGTTGGGAAGATGAATGAATGTGAAGGAATAGTAAGATAGAAGGCCATGGAGCAAGATGAGGATGTGGTAAAGGAGCTATGGTCATCAGCCAATGGAAGTGATTAAGATGACACTCAAGGAAGAGTCATTGTTGCAGTTCTTTGAATAAATAGAGGCTGGAAGCTTGTGAAATGTCCACCCAGGTGGTGATCAAATTCATACTTCTGGCAGTGGGAAATCTGAAGGTCAGAGAAAATGGTCCCAGGTACCTATGACATGCACATAGTTTATTTTTGGTCACTAGCCATTTTCCCCTTGAGGTGAAGGAGTTGAGGTCATTGTCTGGAGATCATAGGCAAACATGGAATGATGACCTTAATTGTGCAACTTCATCTTGATTGGCAAAACCAAGCAAGCAATGGACTTGGCCCATCTACATGGTAGAGGAAAAGGGCATTCTGGGAACTCTTTCTATTGGGGACAATATTTCTTACTGAAGAGGATATGTACGTTTCTTATTATTTTCTTAATCCTGCCTAAAATGCTTCTTGCTTTTTAAAAAAAATTTTCTCCACAGCTAGGCATCACACCAAATCTTAAAAAAGTTGATAATGATATACAGATGTTTTGGCTCATGTGAAAGGCAGTCATGCAATAATAAATGATTCTTTTGAAAAAAATAACCCAAATTTCTTTTTGACAGATAATGATTCCACATGAGAACCGAACCAGTGAGGCTATGTATAACAAAATGAACATCTCAGAGCTCAGTGCAATGATTCCCCAGGTTGGTGAAAGCTCTCCAGAAAAAAAAAATCTCTTTTCCTGCTATTTTATAAGCTATTCTATTTCATCTGTGTATAAAAGTTGGCCTTATAAATCTTACTATTCATCATTTTGATTATCATCATTCTTTTAAGCTATCACATAAAATAGCCTTGTGTGTGCAATAGTATTTTCTAAGTTATAGGGAATGCAAAAAGTTTTCTGATAGAGGCTTAAAAGTATAAGGCCATTTTCTTATGACACAGCCAGGGGCACCAGTTGGTATTGGTCCAGCTGTTTAACACTGCAAAGACTTTATATTTACACTTTACCCTCCTTGGGCTTTTTGACTTCATTTGGATAGCATAGTTATAAAGTGGGCGCTGTAGCTCCACATTAGGGTAAGGAGAAGGGGGAAGGACACATCGACCCACCTGACTTCTTTATTTTCCCTAAGTAAACAAAAAGTCCCCTTTCAGAATATTCCTAGATGAATGACCTGCTTTTAATTCTGAGTAGAATTGGGTATGTGGCCATCCCTGCTATTGGGCAAGGGGTAGGAAAGTGGGTGCTAGGCAAGTAAGTAACTGATTTTCGGGTTCACTAGTAAGTAACTGGTTTTCAGATTCACTAGTGGAGGCAGACAAGGGGAAAAGAGTTGGAAAACAGACTTTAGGAAAACCAATATAAAGAATATAAAGTACAAACAGTGCAGAGTTTGTTTTAGAGACACAGAGTCATGCTCTATAGACTGGAGATGTGTTATCCTGAAATAAGAGGTTGCAGAGAGGAGAAGACTAATAGTGTGTTGAGGCAGCTGTGCCTGTGTTTATGGGAAGAAGAGGGGGAATATGAAAGTTAGAGGGCGAGAATTGAGAAAGGGGGCACAGGGGATTAAAGGAGTGAACTAAGCTAGAAGAAGAGATGGGTACAGGATGGGGTAGGGCTAAGGGAGCAAGGTAGAGAGAAGATGGAGAGAGAAGAGGGTTTGAATAGCCAAGGGAGTGCATCATATATTAACACATGAGAGAGTTATCTGGAAGTCTGTGGTACAGAATACAGGCTCTGTTTTTGATGATGACCTTATGTCTGAGTGGTAATTGATCGGACGTTGGCTTCTGGATACAAATGATGAGCACTTTCATCTTTAATGATTTGGACAGAATGGATTATGCTCAGCATGCTTTATTTGAATGCCTGTCCTCTTACTTGCTGCCTTAACATAGGTTTCATTTGTTTTCTCTATCCTCAGTTTGACTGGCTGGCCTATATCAAGAAGGTCATTGATACCAGACTCTACCCACACTTGAAAGACATTGGCCCCTCGGAGAACGTGGTGGTCCGCGTCCCACAATACTTTAAAGATTTGTTTAGGATATTAGGTGCCGAGAGGAAGAAGTAAGAACTTTGATGTGCATTTTTACTGTGGCTTTTGTTTTCTCTTTCAATTAGAAAGGCCTTTATTTTTCATGTATGTTGAAAATTGCTTTTAAAGGAAGTTACAGCAAAACAATCAGAGGCAAAATTACAGTGCCCTTTGTGATAAACAGGTCCACATCATTTTCTGGGGTAATTCACTTGCTGAGATGACAACAAACAACCAATGCTTTTGCACCATATTTGCCCCAATTTCTTATTTCTCTGAACTGTTCTTTTTGAGAACAAAAATTGTTTATTAGTTTTGGAAACTAGTTAGTAATGATGTTATTTCCTGAGATTTCTATATAAATGTTTTCCCTACAGTTCATTCTTGGTCTTTTGCAGCATTTTCTCCTTCTTTCTTGTTATTTGTTAGTCAGCAAGCCATTATTTTTTGACAACAGGCCAAATTATCTGTGTTGAAAGACAAGACTACTTTGAGAGCTGCATACATACATACATGCATACATACATAGGAAAAAGGAATGGGTGAAACAACTTTAGGGATAGCCAGATGTTTTTTTTTAAATTTTAAAGAATGTTTAGGATTTGTAGCTTTGCAAAGTGACACCTGAAACATTTCCTTAGGCCCTTGCTGAAAATACAGATGCCAAATCTCACCTCCCCCACAGAGTCTGGTGAAGTAGGTCTGCAGGAAGGGGGGGTCAGGAGTCTGTATTTTATTTCATTTTTGTAAAAGACTAGTTTATTCTTATGAGTGTTTTGCCTGTATAATACATATAATATAGCATACGTATAACACACATACAACATACATACAACACACATACATATACATATACGTATATGTATACCTATACATATACATTCATAGGCAATTGCCAGTGTTCTTAACTACTGAGCCATCTTGCTAGCCCTAGGAATCTGAATTTTAAATAGGTATCCCAAGATAGCAAAAGCTTCTCGAGATAGCACATCTTCTGAGTTAGAGGCTTTGGGGGAAAATTTCATATTGCTGTCCTAGTAGTGGGCTCTTTGCTGGGATGTTTTTTCTTTCCTTTATTTATTATCATTTAGGGAAATTACTGTATTGCAAAAAATGCTTTTTGGATCAAAAGAAGGCTATTACAGGTTATTTTCGTTGATGGTTGCTGAGTCTGATTTTGGTTTTGTTTAGTTTTGTTTTTGATGTGTGTAATCATTAGGTGGTAGTGACTCAGTCATTATGGCCATCTCTGTTCCTGCCATGATATTATCACTCCATAGTGTTTTGAAGTCAATAATTTTAGAACACATTGATGTAGGCATAAATTTTTTGCAACCTACTTTAATAAAGGTCCAACCTTTCCTCTAGACCACCACCCAACAGAGGTAGTGGAAGAGAAAAGTTACTCGGATATGGGGGAAGTGGACCTGTTCAGCAATAGTTCTTTGGGGGCGAGCTCGTTCTTCTTTGGCAGCAGTTCAGTCCCATAGCAAACATCTAATACAATTCAGCAGCTGCAGACCAGTCCTCTAGGCAGGCAGACAACAGGAACAAAGCAGCAGCTATAGTCAAATCCTTTCAGCAAGCAGACACCAGGCAGCTGTAGTTCATTCCTGAAGAAACTGCCAGGCTCACCAACTGGCCTGAGGCAAGGCTGTGGAAGCAGCATCTGCCACAGAAACCTCATAAGCAGTTCTGGGGCAAGTTTCTCAATGGTGACTTTATCACAGTTGAGCTCAACAAAGCTATGCAAGGCAAACCAATACATGCGTGTCTTTAGCGAAGAATAGCAAGGCGGAGCACACCAAACCAAGGCAAAGTGCTCCTCTCCCACTGTCTCTGGGGTCATCTTTATACTCCTTCATCAAGAGTCCTTTCATATGTTTGCATATAGCAACCTGTGTCTGCTTCAGGAAAACAGTCTTTGATGTGTTTGCTTTAGCAAGGCATCCTTTCACCTGTGTGCCCCAGCAAACATCACTTGACATAAGTAACTTTCCAAAGAACTAGTTGTTTCTACTTCACATTGGAACAATTCATCAACGCTGTTTTGTCTTGCTGGGTAGCTTCCCAGTCAGCATCCCATCTTCTAACACTCAGAGGTCTTATAATGTTATTGTCTTAGTAGTGCCTCATCTAGAAAAGCTTCATTGTTCATTTTTTGATCCCCATAGGTTTCTGTAAAACACTTTTGGACAAGTTGTTTTCAGGTTTCTGTGACTGGTCAGGAAATTGTCCTTAAATCAGTAGCTTTCGTGTATCAGTGTGTGGTACATGGAAAAGCACACAGGCTTTAGACATACCTGAGTCTGGGCTAGCCTCCATGGCTTATCACAGTGGTTCTTTGGGTTATTCATAGGACTTGGTGGGGGCAGGACTTAAAAAACAATATTTGTGTTAGGCCTTGCTCTAGAGCTGGTGATTTAATTGGCTAGCTGTGGCCTGAGCATCTGCACTTATCAAAACTCTCCAGATGAGTTTACTTGTTTGGAACCCACTGACTATGTGATGTAGAGTTCAGTAAATGACTCTAAGCTTCAGTTTTCTGTATTCAGCTAAAAGCATTCATATGTGTCTTAGTCAGGGTTTTACTGCTTTGAACAGACACCATGATCAAGGCAACTCAAATAACGACATTTAATTGGGGCTGGCTTACAGGTTCAGGGGTTCAGTCTATTATTATCAAAGTGGGAACATGGCAGCATCCTGGCAGGTATGGTGCAGGAGGAGCTGACATCTGAAGGCTGCTAGCAGAATACTGACTTCAAGGCAGCTAGGACAAGGGTCTTAAATCCACGCCCACAGTAACACACCTACTCCAACAAGGCCACACCTCCAAATAGTGCCACTCCCCCAGCCAAGCATATTCAAACCATAACAGTATGTTAGAGTCAATATTTTTTCTCATCTCTGTAACACCTAGAACTATTGGTACATACCTAGGTGCTTAGAATTTGTTGAGTCCATGAGGCAAGGGAAAAATTAGGGGCTAGAGAGGTGGCTCAGAGGTTGAGAACACTTCCAGAGGTTCTGAGTTCAATTCCCAGCAACCGCATGGCAGCGTACAACCATTTATAATGTGATCTGGCGCCCTCTTCTGGCATGCAGGCATATATACAGGCAGAATACTGTTCCTAATAAAATGTTTATAAAAAAAGGTACTAATAAGCTGAAATGTTTCATTCTCCACTGTATCAGTTCTGTTTCATGTTGACAGGAACAGATAGTTGATAAAGTCATGAAAGAAGGGTTTGTTTTGTCTTACAATTTGTGGATAATCTATAATAGAGCAATCATGATATCTAGAGCTTGAGGCAGTTGGTCACATCACATCTACTGCCATGAAGCAGAGAGAAGGCTTATGTTCAGATAGCCTTTTTATTCAGTCTGGTCCTCCCACCTATGGAATTGTGCCACCCACATTCAGAGTAGGTCTTCCAACCTCTGTTAACTTAATCTAGATAATCTCTCACAGGCTTGTGATTCTAGTGACTCTAAACGATTCTAGATCCTGTCAAGTTGACAGTTTTAACCATCACACCAACTGTAGTTACTGAATTACCTTGGCACCTTCCTCATGGTACCTGGCACACTGGGTCAACAGAAAATGCTTGGTGAGAATTTCTTGGCTTATTGAGGAATAGGGATATGTAGGCAAAAAGGAAAGGCTTGCTGGGCAGTGGTGGGGCACGTCTTTAATCCCAGCACTTGGGAGGCAGAGGCAGGCAGATTTCTGAGTTCGAGGTCAGCCTGGTCTATAGAATGAGCCCAGGACAGCCAGGGCTACAGAGAGAAACCTTGTCTCAAAAAGACCACACAAAAAAAAGAAAGAAAGGCCTAAAATGGTGCATTTTTTTTAGTGACTGAAACAGAACATAGCTAAGTGTAAGACTTAAGGTATTTGGATGATGGGTTCTGAGGAGCCCTGTGCTTACCCCAGCAGGGACTCTTAGGTTCAAAATGAAAATTTTATACTGTCTATATTTTCACTTTACAAATTAAAAAAAATAGGATTAATAAAGTTCTACTGTATTGATGCTCACAGGTCTATTGTTTGGGTAACGCAGTGTTTACTATCGCTAGTTTGTTTTCATTCAGTACATTGAAAACAATACTGCAATGCTATAGTTTAGATACATGAATTTTTTTACTTCGTTTAATCATATCATCAGGGAATGGCTTAAAAATTCTTGTTTTTTGTTTTTGTTGTCTTAATTTTTTCTTTATTCTTATCTCATACAATATATCTCAACTATAGTCTCTCCTTTCTCCCCTCCTCCTAGTATCCCCCCCCCTTACCTCTCCTCTCCCCCAGATCCTCTCTTTCCATTTAGAAAAGAACAGGCCTCCCAGTGATATCAACTGAACAGGACATAACAAGATGCAATAAGACTAGGTATAAACACTTATATCAAGGCTGGATGAGGCAACCTAGTAGGAAGGAAAGGGTCTCATGAGCAGGCAAAAGAGTTAGAGGCTCCCTTTTCTTCAACTGTTAGTAATAACATCCCTCTCCCCCCAAGCTATGCAACCACAGAATGCATGCAGAGGGCCTTGCATAGATCCACGAAGGCTCTGTGATTGCTGCTTCAGTCTCTGTGAGCCCTGATGAGCTCTGCCTAGTTGATTCTATGGGTAGTATTCTCCTGGTGTCCTTGATCCCTCTGGTTCCTAGAATCCTCCCCTCCACCCTTTTGCTGGGTTCTACGAGCTCTGCCTAACATTTGGCTGTGGGTCTCTGCATTTGCTTCTATCAACTGTTGGAAGAAGCTTCTCTGATGGCAGTTGGGCTGGACACCAATCTATGAGTATAGCAGAATATCATTAGGAATCATTTCTTTAACTTTTTAAAAATTTTGATCAGTTGTGTTTCGTTTTACTCTAGGTCTCTAAGTCATCCAGCTTCTTGTTTCTGGCCATCAAGGCAGTGTTGGGCATGGGCTCCCTCTTGGGACTTGGACCTCAAGTTAGACCAGTCATTGGTTGGTCACACCCACAAGCTTTGAGCTACCATTTCCCCAGAGCATCTTGCAGGCGGGAAAAGTTGCGGGTAGATAGGTTGAAGGTTTTGTGGCTGGGTTGGTGTTCCAGACCCACCATTGGGAGCGAACCTGGTTACAAAAGATGGTCGGTTCAGGCTCCATATCCTCTATTGCTCAGAGACTTTGCTCTAGGGTCACCCTCATAGGTTACAGGATGTTTCCTTTGCACTAAGTTTCAACATTGTTTCTTAAATGCCCACCTATTCCAATCATCTCTCCCCATATTCTCTTCCTCTATCCTCTGTCTTTCCCTCCTAATCCTTCCTTTAGAGAAACAGGAATTAAAATATTAGTAATGTGTACAAAAATTAATAACAACAAAATGACAAAAGTGTCACCTTTTCTGCACTAGTATGCCATCTTAGTTAGCAAGAAGGGAAAAACAGTGGTGACAGAACCATGTCTGACAAGAGTATGCCAAAACTTTCTGAAATATTCAACAAGACTATATGAAACACACATTTACATATCCAGTCATACTAACATAATTTTATGTGGATAATATGACTTAAAGTACAAATGTCATGGTGTATAAAATATTTATGACCTTAAATATTTTATATTTAAAATTTTGTATTTATATATTTATTAAAATTAGTTCTTTGAAGGGCTCAGTGGTTAAGAGCACTTGCTGTTCTTGCACAGGACCTGGGTTCTGTTATCAAGGGAGATGGGTGATGGTGATTCACAACCATTGGTAAGTCTCCAGTTCCAGGGGATCGTAAACCTCGCCTGGCTTCCACAGACATTGCACATCTGTGGTGTATTTGCATGTACGCACACAAAACACTTATGTACAGAAAATAAAAATACACAAATCTACAAGCATGACCGCATATGCTTGTAATCCTAACACACTTACCAGATAGAGGCATAAGGATCATGAGCTCAAGGTCATCCTTAGTTACATACTGAAAGCCTGTCGCAGAAATGCTACTATTTCCTTTACACATACTTAGAGGTTTAAAAACAGAGTAAAATTTTAGATTATTGTTATTAATGAATATTTTGGTTTTGGTTTCTGAAGGCCAATAATACACATAAATTGGAAAAAGTCATCACTAATGGTACATGCTAATCTGAATGTCTATATAAATTAAAGCAAACATCTCTATAATTATACATATGCAAAAAAGATTTTGCTCATTGGAGACTATCCACGGTGGCAGAAGATCATGCAAATGAACATGTGAATTGTTCTTGGTAGATTTGGTAGTATCAACATGTCACACTGCTACTCATATTTCTGTATGACCCAGGAGCCATCTTAGGAATGTATCTCATTAATCACCATGGTAATGGCACAGTTAAAAGGGGATGGGTCATTAAAAATCCATCATCATGGGTGAGTTAGAAATGAACTCATACCATACATCTTTCCTTAAAGGTCAGGGATTCTTTTACTTATAGAAAAAAGGCAGCACTTAAAATAGAACAGAGGTTTGAAAATATGTATTTAAGCATTACAGAACTCATATAAGAGTTTTCATATGCTTAGAGGTCAACAGAGAGTTAAGAGTTCATTCTGTTAATTATTTTGTTATTTTAACCTCACAATCACCTTGTGAAGTAAGTAATAGCCTCATTCTTTTACAAGGGAAGATAATCAAGAAGACTTAGGTGACTTTCTTGGGCTTACATACTTAGAGGTTATAAAAACAAAGTAAAAATTTAGATTATTGTTATTAATGAATATTTTGGTTTTGGTTTCTGAAGGCCAATAATACACATAAATTGGAAAAAAGTCATCACTAATTTGAAGGTATTCTCTTTTCTGGACATAAGAGGCTCGGGAATTGGGCTGGAACTTTCAGGCTGATTTTGCTGGTGTTCATTGACCTTGTGTTAGGCTTGCCAACAGATTTTCAAAGGTGTTTTTCAGGAAATCAGGTATGACCTAAAATATAATAAATGTTCATTTCTTTTAACAGAACCATTGCCAACTATTTGGTGTGGAGAATGGTTTATTCCAGAATTCCAAACCTCAGCAGGCGCTTTCAATATAGATGGCTGGAATTCTCAAGGGTAAGTTGCCAAATATTGAAATGTTTCATCAGTGGCCAACTTTATATGTTGGGGGCAATTCGAATGTTAATTACTCCAGTAAAAATAAAATCTTTATGGATGGAATGTAGGGAGCTTGCAACCTAAACTCTACTTTAAACTTATTTGCATAAGTTCACTTTACTCAGGTATACCTATTTTCTATTAAAATACCCTAAGCTCTACATTGTGGCTGTATAATAAGATTTAGAGTGATACTTTGGGCCATCTAATCTTGTTCAAATGTTCCCCCTTAACAGCATATTTCTATTCTTTTCAATGCTTTAAACTGAAATTATCAGTTTGATGTTTCTTAACAATACATCCCTTTCAAAGTAGTTCAAATTTATTTTAATTTCTTTACCTTTTTACTGGAAAACACTTGTGATAATTATGTGCATTTGTGAGGTTATGTGTGATGTTTTGATCTACAAAGGCAATCTAGAAAAATTAGTCATGATAATGAACATATACATCATTCTAGCAACATATCACTTCTGTGTTGAGAACATCAACGGCGTATTTTATTGAAATTGAAACACACAATTATCATTAACTATGATTACCTTATGCAGACTGATAAACATTGTCTAATATTATACATATGTGCAATATGAAATAGTAGATTCAAAAAAACAGAGAGTAGGAAGATGGTTATTAGGAGTTGGAGGAGGGAGGGCTGGGAAAGAGAGCTGTGTATCAATGGGTACACAATTTCAATTAGACTGGAAGGATGCAGTCTGACAATCTATTTCACTGTAACCATGGTTTTCAAGGTTTTTCCATGTTCTAATTATATATAGAAAGAACGATATAGCTTCAGTTTTAATTTGGTGTTAGAGTTGCATATTTAACTTTATGTAGATATTTAATCTTGATTCTATCCTAATTCTGCTAGACCCGTTTTAATTTCCTCCCACGATATCCTCTTTAAGTGCCTGAAGATATCCTCTTTAAGTGCCTGAATCCATTATCCTCCCCCTAGTTACTTAGCCCCTGAATCTTTGTTTCTCACCCACCTTTGTTGTCTCCTAACTTACACAGACAGATGTTGCTTTCATCTACATTTCCAAGGCTAGTGACTAATTCTGCCATGGCTTAGAGGAGTGAAGGATTTTTGTAGCTTTAAAAAGTATTTTATTTTTCTATCTATTTAAATCGAAGTGAATGTCAAATCGTATCAGTTCTTATTTTATTTAACATCCATTTTAGTTATTAGAGAAACTGGGAAATACAGAAATTAATAGTGGACCATTATACTTAAGAGAGTGTTACAGTTATTTGAGGGGGCAACTTTTGACCCTTTACATAAAGTTATCTTATAGAGGCTAGATATGCATGAACAATTACTTATATTTAGGTCAAACCAAATAGTTAAGATATAAAACAAGTAGATATTTTTGCTGTGTGTATATTTTTAACTCCTATGGATCACATAAAAGATGGTACCCAGCTGCTTTCTACCCTCACTGTGAAGAAAATGAGAGAGCGAGGTGTAAGAAGTAGTGTGTGAAAATTTGAGGTTAGGTATAAGGGGATGTTTCTTGAACATGAAGTGCTAAATATAATATTGAATTGCCAAAGAAGATTGTAAGACCTCTCTCTCTCTCTCTGGAGTTTTTAAAAATAACCTCATTCCTTACCTCTGAGAAGGTTCATGTACCCAGAAAGGAAAGGAAGGAGAAATGAATTTAAGCTTTAATCCCTTTTGCCCCACTCCAACAACCTGGCTCTAAAATTGTGCATGGGGTACTCCAGGCCACTATTCTCAGGGTCTCTCTCCCTCAAAGTCTGCCAGTACATTCCAGCCTCCAGAGAAAACTTACATGGCATTTATTTCTCTGCTTTCATCCCAAGAGTAAACCTTGGCACTTTCAAATCCTGCTTTGGAAGTCCCTTACTTGTTTGTAGATGTTTTCTTATAATAGCATAACAGGACAGATGGGAAAAGCCTTTACATTTGTATTGTACTCTGCTATGACACTGTGTAAATGGGATCCCCAGGTTGCTCATGGTGAGACATGGTCTGCTAGTCTGCTAACAAGAACTTTGATTGCCCACAATTCCAAACTTTTCCTGGTAGAACTGCAGTCCTAAATAGATCCTAAATACTGTCTGGATCCTTGAACAACATCCTGCTTATGTCCCCATTTGCTGTAGAAAGGCTATGTATGACATTGCCCATGTGTTTTTCTTAATGAAGAAAATTGGACTAAAGGTAAAATGCATTGTTTTTTCCACTATCAGAACATTTTCACTTAGTTGTGGCTGGAAACTAGGGAAAAACAGAGTTTCATGTTCTCCATCTGATTTTACCTTGGCCTTTCCTGTCTTGCATGTATCTGTGAAGGGGTGGGATGTATTTTTGTAGATGGTTTGATTTCTTTTTCTCCTCAGCAATAATTTTCATCCAAAGTATAAAAATTGTATTGATTCTTTCCCACAGGTAATCCAGGGAACCACAACTCTGCTGCCTCAGTGGGACAAATGTGTTAACTTTATCGAAAGTGCCCTCCCTTATGTTGTGGGGAAAATGTTTGTGAATGTTCACTTCCAGGAGGATAAGAAGGAAATGGTAAGTAGAGCTTCCTGGATGATAAAGGCAAACATGCAGAAGAGTGGTCTTCTAGGCAGATCCGACAGACATGATGATCCACAGTCTGCAGTCTACCTTCCAGGGTGTATAGACCCAAAGGCATCTCTTCTACTTCTTTGCATTTTTCCAGGAAAATAGGAATAAAGCTCATCAAATGTGAGGTAGTGAACATATATTGAGGGACTGAGGACACAGAATGTATGCAATAGCTGTCCAGAGGAGTGGGCCAGGGTGAATGATAATATTTAGTATGGCTGCTTAGAGGCAGGTAAAAATCTTAGTCTAGGTGAGATTCAAGCTCATGAATTTAAAGATATTTGTCACTATGGCTATGTGTTTTTCTCCATCTGTTTCAATTTCTTTGAAGGAGAGAAAATATATGTATACACATGTACATATATATACACACATGATTATATATGTATCTTTCAGCATTACTGAGGTTCATTTGACATATAAAAATTGTATATATTCAAGGTGTACAATGTAATGATTTGATACACACTGTAAAGTGATTACCACAACAAAATCAGCAAATTTATCAGCATGTTAACTGTTTTGTGTTTGTCAGTGGGATAGTATTGTGTGACACTATTTCTGCAGAGCCAGGAACAAGCATCAACTCACTCCAGATAGTAAACAGACAAAAGCAATGACCTCACCAAAGTCCAGCTTAGTGAACCAGTGAGTTTCACTGGGGTTACCTTTATGGTTATAGGTAAGGAGCAGGGATGACTGAAAGCCCACTCCAGCATGGGTGACTGCTCACAAAGACTAGAACCCTGGAGTTCCTGCATGCAATGTCTGCAGCTCAACAGGTCAGAGTATCTTTGGGGCAGTCAGCTGGTCTGTGCCTCTTCCATACAGCTTGACTGTTTTCTCTTTTTCAAGCAGCTTGCCTGGCCTCTTGTCTCCTCAGCAGTCTTTCCTATGAAAGCTTAGGGAGGGGCCTTGTGTACCTAGTTAGTTTGAAAAACTTCTCCAGGTTTCTGAGTTGCTTACTTTTGAGTTCTAAGGAGCATCCCTTTAAAATTTCCAGTCTTAACAAGTCCTACTTTAAAAAAAAAGAATTCACATAATTTAATTCATCATTATTATTATTTAATCTACTTTTTACAGTCCAGTCTTTATCCCTCTCTCAGTCTACCCTCTGATTGTTCCACATCCCATATCTCCCCCTTCTCTCCCCCCCACCCCCCATCTCCAGGGTCCAGGCTAAGTTGAGACTGCCAATCTTCCTAAAGATCCTCCTCCTCAGCTTCTTCCAGCTTTTCCCTAATTCAACCACAGGGGTTACCAGCGAACTTCTCCAGGTTTCTGAGTTGTTTACTTTTGAGTCCTAAGGAGCATCCCTTAAAATTTCCAGTCTTAACAAGTTTCACTCTTTTTCTTAAAAAAAAAGGAAAAGAACTTCTCACATCTTAATGAAAGGAAATTGATATGCAACATATGGACACTTAATATGTACTCTTACAAATTTGAAGCATACAGCACATTGTACATTGTTAGTAACTAAAGTCAACATAAGATCACTGGAACTTATACATCCTTGTATGAAAGTCTGTGCCATTTGATCAACATCACCTAATCCCACACTATGCCACTGACAACTTCTGTTCATATTCTCTGTATCTTGGAGTTCCAAAATTTTGCAGGGGGTGGTTTCCACATATAAATCTTATTTTTCCTTCTGTGTCTGGCTTATTTCACTTAGCATTATGTCCTTTAAGTTTATCTATGTTATTGGAAAAGATAAGGTTTCCTTGTTTCATGGCTAAGTAATACACAGACATGCATCATACTTTCTACCTATTTGTTCACTGATGACCATTTAGGGAATTCCATGTCTTGGTTATTAGGAAAAACACTGCAGTGAACATGAGCTGTCTCTTGAAGACATCGCTTTTATTTCCTTTGGCAATATAGCCAGTAATAAGATGGCTAGGTTGTTATAGTAGTCTTATTTTGAACTTTTGGAGGATCTTCTAAACTGTTTAACCTTGACGGCAGGGCCAATTCATATTTTAAGTAGCAGTGTATAAGGTTTCTTTATTTGTGCATTTGCCTCTTTTGACTTTCATAGTAGTTACTTTAATAGACATGAAGTACTATTTCACTGTGGTTTTGATTTTTATTTTCCTGACTAGCGACATGCAATGCATTTTCATATGTCTCTTGGCTATTTTTGCATGTCTTTGGAAAATGTTTAGTCAGGTCTATTGTTCATATTTAGTTAGGTCATTATTTTTCCTACTTTTGCTATTGGGAGTGCACTTTTGAGTTATAAGTTTGTATTTAGCCACTTTTATGTGAATTTTCTCTGTAAAAATTACATTTTACCGATGCCAGCAAGCAAAATATCCATGTGTGATTCACTGAGAGAGTACTGCTTTATCAATCAGATATAGACATATAAGCATATGGGACACAGGTAGTTTTAATCATTGAGTTTGAGGATAAAGACACAGAGTCTATTAAGTCATGATGATTCGAATGGTAATATGTAGTGATAATAATATCAAGTGGTGGGTGTTATATATCCTATACTGGAGTTTATTTTTAAATATCACTAATCTAAATATATTCTCTTTTGTTAATTTGTTTTTTACTACCTTTGGAGGATTTCTGCCAAGTTTGAGAACATATTTTTAAATAAACAGGCATATTCCAAATAGGGCCACCAAGAAATGAATGCTTTGTTTTTAAAATGCTCAGTATTCTTGAATGCTTTTGTTTGCTCTTTGGCCAGAGTAAATACATGGAAACCTTATTAAATAATCACAGGGATATGACTAAAATCTCAAGAGAATATAAATACAATGAATGAATAAAAAGAGTCTGTATACTGGGAGAGGTTTGGCACACATATTTTTTTTTTATTGGATGATTTATTTACATTTCCTATGTTGTCCCCTTACCCCATCCCCCACCACCCCCTCGGAACCCCCAATCCCCTCGCCCCTCCTCCTTCTTCTCTGTGGATGTAACCTCTTTCTACACCACCCCACTCCCACCTCCCCACCCTCAAAATTCCCACCCCCTGGGGCATCCAGCCTTCATGAGGTCAAGGTTCTCTTCTTCCACCTATGCCCAGCAGGGCCCTCCACTTTTACATATTCAGCTGAAGCCCTGGATCCCCCCCTAAGTGCTCCCAGGCTGGTGGTTTAGACCCTGGGAGCTGTGGTTGGTTGGTATTGTTGCTCTCCTCATGGTGCCACAAACCCTTTCAGCTCCTTCAGTCTTCACTCTAACTCCTCTATTGAGAACCCCATGATCAGTTCAATGGCTAGTTGTGAGCATCTGCCTCTGAATATGTCTGACTCTTGAAGGCCTCTGAGGAGATATCCATATCAGGCTCTTATCAGCATGCACTTCCTGTCTTCCACATCAGCATCTACCTTTGGTGATTGCACATGGGATAGATACTCAGGTGGGCTGGTCTTGAGACGGCCCCTCCTTCAGTTTCTGTCCCTCACTTTGTCTCCATATTTGCTCCCTTGAGTATTTTGTTGCTCCTTCTAAGAAGGACCGAATCACCCTCACTTGGTCTTCCTTCTTTATGGACTTCATGTGGCCTGTGAGTTGCATCTTGGGCATTTCAAGGTTCTGGGCTAATATCCAATAATCAGTGAGTGAATACCATGTGTCTTCTTTTGTGATTGGCTTACCTCACTCAGGATGATAATTTCTAGTTCCATCCATTTACCTAGGAACCTCTCAAATTCATTGTTTTTAATAGCTGAGTAATACTCCATTGTGTAAATATACCACATTTTTTGAATCCATTCCTCAGTTGAAGGACATCTGGGTTCTTTCCAGCTCCTGGCTATTATAAATAAGGCTGCTATGAACATAGTTGAGCATATGTCCTTGTTATATGTTCGAGCATCTTCTGGGTATATGCCTAGGAGTGGTATAGCTGGATCCTCGGGTAATGCTATGTCCAATTTTCTGAGGAACCACCACACTGATTTCCAAAGTGGTTGCACCATCTTGCAGTCCCACCAACAATGGAGGAGTGTTCCTCTTTCTCCACACCCTCGCCAGCATCTACTATCACCTGAGTTTTTAATCTTAGCCATTCTGACTGGTGTGAGATGGAATCTCAGGGTTGTTTTGATTTGCATTTCCCTGACGACTAAGGATGCTGAACATTTCTTTAGATGCTTCTCGGCCATTCGAGTTTCTTCTGTTGAAAATTCTTTGTTAAGCTCTATATCCCATTTTTTAATAGGGTAATTTGGTTGTCTGGAGTCTAATTTCTTGAGTTCTTTGTATATATTGGATATTAGCCCTCTATCAGATGAAGGATTGGTAAAGATCTTTTCCCAATTTGTTGGTTGTCGTTTTGTCCTATTGACAGTGTCCTTTGCCTTACAGAAACTTTGCAATTTTATGAAGTCCCATTTGTCAATTCTCGATCTTAGAGCATATGCCATTGGAGTTCTGTTCAAGAACTTTTCCCCTGTGCCCAAGTATTCGAGGCTTTTCCCCACCTTCTCTTCTATTAGTTTCAGTGTATCTGGTTTTATGTGGAGGTCCTTTATCCACATAGACTTGAGCTTTGTACAAGGGGATAAGAATGGATCAATTTTCATTCTTCTACATGTTGTCTTCCAGTTGAACCAGCACCATTTGTTGAAAATGCTGTCCTTTTTCCACTGGACAGTTTTAGCTCCTTTGTCAAAGATCAAGTGACCATAGGAGTGTGGGTTCATTTCTGGGTCTTCAATTCTATTCCATTGATCTTCCTGCCTGTCTCTGTACCAATACCAGGTAGTTTTTATCACTATTGCTCTGTAGTACAGCTTGAGGTCAGGGATGGTGATTCCTCCAGAAGTTCTTTTATTGTTGAGAATAGTTTTCGCTATCCTGGGTTTTTTGTTATTCCATATGAATTTGAGAATTTCCTTTTCTAACTCTGTGAAGAATTGAGTTGGGATTTTAATGGGAATTGCATTGAATCTGTAGATTGCTTT